TGTCAGCCCTAGGGGGGGAGGTTCCCCCCCCCGGCTCGAGTTAAAGGAAAACAAAGGGGGTTGAATGGATCACACAACTGAACAAACTCTAGGGTCATTGAAGAGTTGTCAGCCAAGGCAGGGCATCCTTTTTACAAACAGAGTATGTTTTCCCCATCTTGGATCATAAATAGAAGCATGGAAAGGCAGAAAAACAGCAAAGTGCCGGCAGCACAGTCATGTAGGTCCCGTTGTAACTTATTACCAAATATCTAACCATTACCACTCCTCTATATACGCCTATCATCAATCTATAGTCGCCCATCGATGTTCAAATGAAACCATTATTGTGTCTCGAACATCGTGAACCTTTCGCGTATTGATGGCCGGCTCTTTGGAAACCTCTACATTCTCCATGCAGGAGAGGTTAGCTGGTGTATTTGAAGAGGCCAGGATCGGTCTCGGTTGATTTTCATACAGCGGCAAGTCCTTCAGAACGCTCGTCTGTTTTGCGATGTGCTCGTGATGCTTGAGGTAAGCCTTCTCAGCTACAATCCCACTCACCGACTTCCAATCAGAGAAGTCGATTGAAACAACCTCTCTTAGGCTTTCGGATTCGCGCAAATAGGGTGCTGAATAGCAGCGTAACCTCTCGAGAACGTCTTTTGAGGACCGACCCGACTCATACACTAGAAATACTTCGGGTGAGTCAAAATGGTTGAAGACAAACTGTCGAAGGCGATTGAATCGCGCGAGTGCTTTAGCATATTGGTTCTGTTCGATTCACATGCCTCAAGAAGCACTTCAGCCAGTGCCACTTTGAAAGCACTTTGCGAAATCCTGCCTAGCAACTCACGACTTCACCACTATAGTAGTTTTCCTTCCCAGCAAAGTGAAGGCCACACTTGAACACTTCGATCTCCGGGAATTTTCGGTGAAGCAGCTCAAAGAATCCTGGACCCATTGGTACTGCTTCTCTCACACCACCAAATATTTCGAGCTTTCGAAGACTCGCTTGCGCACTGAGACACTGGACAATTTTTGAGTTGAAATTGGTGATGTGTAGAGAAACCTCTTTCAGATTATCGACTCGATTAATTAGCCCCACCCAGACGGGCTCTATGTCATTCACTTGGAGCGCTTGAAGTTGTGAGATGGTCGTTAATCGCGCTATACGATTTGATAAACACCTGAGAACTGATTCTGAATCCTCAACTTCGGAGAGAGTGATAGACAACGCCTCTAAGTTTTTACCGACTCCTCGCTCTAGGCACGACAAGATGGTTTCGTTATTCAAACGGGAAAGACATAGGAACTTGAGATTTGAGAAAGATTGGGCTAGTCTGGCGGTGGAGCTAATCAGCCTGGAAAACATGGCCGAACGCCTTGGTTGATAGGAAGCCTGGTTGGAAATGAATAGCCAGTTGACATTCCGTGCCCCAGACCAACCCCTCGCGACTGAGTCGTGCGTTTCAATCGTTCTTTTATATGGATGACCCCACTTATCTCGCCGCGATCGCGGACGTGGCTGACTCATCAGAGTGTGTTTGGTGGAGGGAAGAGTGAGGACGACCTGCTTCTGGTAAATCCGTTTGCAAATCGAGTGGATATACTTGCAAGTCAGCCCAAAACTCAACAGCCCTTTAAACTCAATCAGGTTAAATTTCCTGGACTCTGTCAGTAACAGTTTTCCCAGTTGATTGGTTTTGGGAGCACGATGCCGCTGACTAGGATAGCCTATCAGCTCCAAGACAATGATCGTAAGAATTTCAGCTGGCAATTCAAGGAGGGATATTCGAGATTGGTTTCGGCAGTGAAGGGCGCCGTTGCTCGACGAAACGCGGCCGATGGTCAGGATGGAAGATCGGGCATTGGAGGGAGGAAGAAGAAGCATTTCTTCGGTATCCTCCGGAAGAACTGTTATGTCGTATTACCTGTTGGAAGCCATTCAATTTACATCCACTCCTCTGTTTCAAATGTGCTTATCTTCTCAATCCACCAAGGTTGAGCAGAGAACCTACAGGGGGTTCGTGCTGGTTTCGCAAATGGTCTATGCGAACAAACGACTAAACTTTTTTTTGTCGGTTTATAAAAGTTGGAAGTTGGCAGCAGCCGTCAAGGTATTCGATTGAGAAATGTTAATAGCGATCATATCTCTTTAATGGGCACTGTGATGTGGAATATAAGCTACTGCGTAATGACAACGTTTCCGGCGCTTTGATTCCCAGTAGGTGAAGCCTTGTCAACTAAAAGGAGTAGTTGCTACCAAGGCCCCGTTTGAACAGTAGTGAGGTTGACAGTTGTAATACTACCGCGAAAGGTTCTTTTCAGGGGGTGCGACCAAGAAAGCAGAGACTGACAGTGAAACTGAAGTGGGGATTTATGGAACGACGATTGATCCAACCACGCTCTCACGCGCCGTTTTGGTTCCCCCCCCAAAACGCAGTACTACGATGATGTGGCCTGCTGTATACATTCCTCCGATGCACGTCGATTCACATGAACGAATTTCCCAATCCCGGTGAAAGTGGATTCAATGGGGGAAACTTTTGGATGCCGGTGAGGCACTTCTTGTGGCGACAGGAAGTAGGACAGCCTGCCGTTAGAGAGCAGCTACTCTAACACTGCCGTCACTACTGCTTCCCGTGAACCCTGGAGTTTGAGCAAAGTGCAAGTCCAGCCCGTTAGCTGCGAGTTTACGAGGTGTTATCGATGGCGAAACTGTGGCAAGCCTCTGCAGGAAGGGTCAGATGAGCCTTCTTCACCATCTTGTTCCACCGCGGTCAAAGGCCCAAGCTTTGATTTGCAATAGTTTGGTAAATTTCTCAATGCCACACAGGGGTTGTAGTGTAGTGGCTATCACGCGTCATTTGCAATGGTGTTGGTATAGGACAACACGGACATTGAGAGCTTGACGAGGTCCCGGGTTCAATCCCCGGCGACTCCATTTTGCTCCCTCGGGTACGCCTGGATGCTTCAGGTGAACTGCAGGCAGTTGAGCAAGTTTTTTTTGCAGTGTCCCTGTTGCCTATCTCACTTTTACACATTTCAGATTGGCTTGTTAAAAGCCTCTCCTAGGGATTTCTCAGGGTGCAACCTTCTTCCAATCTAACAAGGCCAAGCTGAAAGAAAATAGCTCTTGGTGTAAGAATGACCACACTCTCTTTAAGTCATCCCAACTGGTTGAAAATTTGTGTTTATCAAAAAGAGTTGACAGATGGGCCTCTTCTAGAATCCTATGATATGATAAATAATTTATGGTATGTAATAGACTTTTTTCCATTCACAACAGCACATAGCACCAGACCCAAAGTGAAGGCAATGTGCACACATTGCATTGCTAGTAGAAAGGGGCCATGTGTACATGTTGCCTTTGTTTTTGGCCTGGTGTAGAGGACTAGAACAGAAGAAGGAGAACTTCCCTGCTAACTCTTTGTTGGAAAAAAGTGCAAAAATCCTCTTTTTATCAAGCTCCATCTGGAATTTGTTTTTCAAGGTGTGACTTGGTCAATTGAGTCAAGCAATGATTCAGGGGCGGGGATTGTACCAATCACCAGGACCAAAGTGAAAGCATTGTGCACACATTGCCTTTCTAGGTAAAAAGGGGTCCCTCTGTACCTAATGAGGTAATGTGTACATGTTGCTCTTGTTTTTGTTGTCTCTATTGTTGGAATCACCACTGCTCCGTGGTCTCCAGTCCTTCTCCACGCTCTCTAGTATTCAAGTCTGTGACACATGAAGGAGATCTCCAACCACAACTTAAACCATCTGGTCTCAAACCTGACCTTAACTGAATCCTGAACCACAACTTGTGTGGCTCTTTGTCTCAACATAAAAGGACCTTCTTTCTCCTCCTGTCAACCAGTAGGCCTACTCGTCTTTCTTCAACTCAACTGCTTGCCTCAACACTTCATACCATCACTCTCATCTGTTAAACAGCTCTTCAACAAGCTCAATAACTATCAACTCACCTTCTCTCCGCTCTGCTCAGGACACTCACGGTGATTCCTCATCCATTTAGTGAGAAAAGACCGAGGACATCTTTTCATACTCTTTTCTTCTCTTTGTCTTGATCCTTTAATGTTAATCATTTTTTTCTTTGTTAAGTGTCCCTTTTTCCTCTTCTCTGCTCTTTCTGCTCTTTTCTCAGCTGTTGTGCTTCACCTTTGTTTGAATATTAAGTGGTATGCTCTCTTGTCCTTTTTCATCTTGTATATTGTTGTATTTTTTTGTTTCTTTTTCTAACTCGTCATTCTAGTTTCCCAGTTCCGTTTATAGCAATAAACTGTCAATCCTTCGTCTATGGAAATTTTATTTGTGTGTGTGTGTGTGGGGGG